AACTCCATCACTGACGGTTGTGGTAACATAAAGTTAGGGTAAGGAGGTAGAAACTAATTTACGACTAACGCTTCCGCTTCTCACTGTGATAATGTCTTCCGCATCAGGTATGTGCCTCTAACATTCTCTATGTAAGATTATCATGTTCAAGATCCTGAAAGTATTTAATCTTACATGTGGCATCCGAGCCAGGATTGTTTGAACGTATAATCTTCGTATATCTTGCATCCTTATATATAATATTCACATGATATGTATATGTGAAATTATATTTATGGTTCATAATTGTGTTTCATAAATCGTACGATATGTGAAATCGTTCATAATTATTTTTTATTTTATTTTTAATTTGAATGTTTCATAGAAATTTTCATCGTTAATTGGTTAAATTAATGAAGTAAAAGAATTAAAAAAAAAAAAAAAGGTTATCTGTAGCTATAAGCAATTCCTAAATATACTTTAAACCAAAAAGGATTGTTTGATGGACATGCGTTATCATCTGATGTCAAAACTCCTAAATATATTATTCAAATTGGAGTTTATGGTTGATTTCGGTACTTTTCTGAGAATTGTTTAAATCTTTTATCCCATAATGATCCGCTCGCTATCAGTGAACTTAATCCTTTTGCTTTTGCACAAGTTATTGATTTTATTATTAAAATAATATATATATTTTTTGGGTTTATGTGGTAATGAACCAATTGTGCAATAAATTAAAGTAGTCGTTAGACTAAGCAATAAATAAAATGTGTGTACTTTGTGTAAAATAGTTTGTTAGTTACCAAAGTGACCAAATTAGAGAAATTAGTGTCTACACATATAATATTTATGATCCTTTGATGCATGTATTGTGTTTCTATAGTTTGTTAGTCACCAAAGTGGCCAAACTAAAATGTTTAAAATTATTCACATGCACAAAATTTTATGGGATTATGTATGCATTTGTATTCATATAGCTTGTTAGTCACCAAAGTGGCCAAACTAGTATGGTTAAGAAAAATATGCATTCATAAAACTCATTTAGCTATGAAGGTTAATTAAATGCCTATATATTGAAAATTAAATAGATAAATTGACTTTCACTATTGCTAGAACTTAAGAATTTACCCAAAGGTGAATCAACTATTCTACAAATAGGTGAAAATTATGAGGTACATTAATCTTTTTAGTCAAACATATATTGTATATCCAAAGATGTCGTATATATTTGATTAAAAAATAATTCAATTACCTATTAAAGATAAAATTGACATTTAAATTAATGATAATGTGTCGTAGGTTATCTACCCCAAAAGGAGAATTACGATATATTTTTATCGCTTTACTGAATTCACATTATTTTCTGATTTGTGAGCATTATATCTATTTTGCAGTTATTCCTCTTCATTCGCATGCTTCGTCTGTTACTGTGTTCAATTGATTGAACTTCTCTGAATGGCATGAACAAGTACAGTTCCACTTGGGTGTAATGGATCTTGACTTGGCTCTGCTGAATGACAAACCTGCTGCCATTACTGATAAGAACAGTGAGGATGAGAAGTCTTTTCATAAATCATGGGAACGCGCTAACAGATTAAGCCTTATGTTCATGCGAATGACTGTTGCTAACAACATTAAGAGTACTATTCCACAAACAGAAAGTGCCAGGGAATACCTGAAGTTTGTGGAAGAAGGTTTTCGTTCTGCTGATAAGTCTTTCGCTGGTACACTACTGGATGAACTCACGATCATGAAGTTTGATGGGTCGTGTAGTATGCAAAATCATATCATCGAGATGACTAACATTGCAGCAAGACCTAGACCTTGGGGATGAAAGTGGATGACACCTTCTTGGTTCAGTTCATTCTGAACGCATTGCCTCTTGAGTATAGATCATTCCAAATTAACTATAACACTATTAAGGATAAATGGGATGTTAGTGAATTGTCCAGTATGCTTACTCAAGAGGAGTCAAGACTTAAGAAACAAGGAGGTCATTCCATTAACCTCATAGGTCAAGGAGCTGGTAAAGGACTTAAAAGTGAAGGCCAACAAGTTTAAGAAAAGAAAGCACCTGCTAAAGTTCCACAGGATGCTCATAAGGAACTCAAGGCTGATGTGTGTCGTTTCTGTAAAAAGGAAGGACATATCAGAAAGATTGCCTGAAACGTAAAGCTTGGTTTGAAAAGAAAGGTACATTTAGTGCTTTTGTATGTTTCGAATCAAATTTAGTAGAAGTTCCTAATAATTCTTGGTGGCTTGATTCTGGTGCAACTACTCATGTATCCACTATGTTGCAGGGATTCACTACGATCCAAACTACAAATCCAAGTAAGGATTTCTTGTTCATGGGAAATCACATGAAGGCTAAAATTGAAGGCATAGGGACTTATCAATTGATCTTGGAGACTGGACATCAACTTGATCTATTATAGACTCTTTATGTTCCTTCAGTTTCTAGGAATTTGATTTCCCTTTCAAGACTTGATGTTTCTGGATTTGATTTTAAGTTTGGACATGGATGTTTCAATTTATATAAGAATATTGTGTTTATGGTTCTGGTGTTCTTATTGATGGTTTATATAGATTGAAACTCGATAATAATTTTTTTAAATCCCTGCTTATAATTCATCAAAATGTTGGAATTAAGCGTAGTTCACTAAATGAAAGTTTTGCTTATTTGTGGCATAAACGTTTGGATCATGTATCCAAAGAACGATTAAAAGGATTAGCAAAGAATGAAATTCTTTCAAATTTGAATTTCGCTAATCTTTATATTTGTTTGGATTGCATTAAAGGAAAGCAAACCAAACATACTAACAAAAGTTCCACAAGGAGCACTCAACTTCTTGAAATAATACACACTGATATTTGCAGACCCTTTGATGTTCCATCTTTAGGTGGAGAAAAATATTTTATCACCTTTATCAATGATTTTTCACGTTATGAATTTATCTATTTGTTGAAAGAAAAATCTCAAGCAGCGGACGCTCTCAAAGTGTACGTTAATGAGGTTGAAAGACAATTAGATAGAAGAATGAAAATTATTAGGTCAGATAGAGGTGGTGAATATTATGAAAAGTATAACGAATCAGGATAATGTTCAGGTCCATTTGCAAAATTACTTGAAGAACATGGCATATGTGCACAGTATACTATGCCAGGAACACCTCAACAAAATGGTGTTGCAGAAAGGCATAATCGAACACTTGTGGATATGGTTAGTAGTATGATGAGTAATTCCTCATTACCCAAATCATTGTGGATGGATGCTCTTAAAACCGTTGTATATTTATTAAACAGGATTCCTAGTAAGGCAATTCCAAAGACCCCTTTTGAACTGTGGACGAGAAGGAAGCCTAGTTTAAGACACCTGCATATTTGGGGTTGTCAAGCGGAAGCTAGAGTTTATAATCCACATGAAAATAAATTAGATTCTCGAACGGTAAGTGGTTACTTTATTGGTTATCCAGAGAAATCTAAAGGGTATAGGTTTTACCGTCCAAATCATAGTTTGAGAATTGTTGAAACCGATAATGCAAAATTCATTGAGAATGGTGAATTTAGTGGGAGTGTTGAACGACAAAGTGTGGAAATTAATGAGGTAAGGGTAAATATTCCATTGCCCATAAATGTACCTACTTCCACACCAATAACAAATGTTGTTCCTCTTGTTGAAGAACACTTTAACAATGTTGAACAATATTTGGATGAAACACTTTAAGAGGGAACTAACTCACAAATATCTGACGCAAATGAACCACTAACAGTGCAATTAAGAAAATCGGCCATTTCAGATGATTATGTGATTTATTTGCAAGAGTCAGATTTTGACATTGGAATTAATAAAGATTTGATTTCATTTTCACAGGCCATAGAAAGCACCTGAGTCTGATAAATGGATTGATGCCATGAATGAAGAGTTAAAATCCATGGAATACAACAAAGTCTGGGATCTAGTTCAATTACCAGAAAGTTCTAAAAGAATCGGGTGTAGATGGGTCTTCAAGACCAAACGCGATTCTAATGGTAATATTGAACGATATAAAGCCAGACTTGTTGCCAAGGGATACACTCAAAAAGGAGGCATTGATTATAAAGAGACCTTTACACCGGTCTCAAAAAAAGAATCATTAAGAATTATTTTGGCTTTAGTAGCTCATTATGATTTAGAGTTACATTAAATGGATGTGAAAACTGTCTTTCTTAATGGAGACTTTGAGGAGGATGTTTATATGGACCAACCAGAGGGTTTTGAAATAAAAGGAAAAGATCAAATGGTGTGTAAGCTAAAGAAGTCAATATATGGACTCAAACAAGCCTCACGACAATGGTATATAAAGTTTAATGATACCATAACATATTTTGGATTTAAAGAAATTACCGTTGATCGGTGCATATTGTTGACACCCAATTTTGGCCCTCCACAATATAAATTAATCATCAAGCTTCTTAAATTCCAAACGATTTTATAAAATTCAAAATATTTTTTAAGTTATTTTAAATAGTTTCTTCACTTTTTATAATTTTAAATAATATATCTGTTTTATATAATTTTGTATATAATTAGCATAGTTTATGAATATTCAAAAATCGCCTCAAAAAAGATTTTGTTAAATATTTGGTTAATTAGTTTAGTTATATAATAGTTTATATTTTAAATAATTAATTTATAATTAAGTTAATTATTTTACTTTGTTAATATTAAGAAGCTCGTTAATTAATTAATATTAATTTATTTTATTTAATCTTTAGTTGGATTCACTAATTGAGTCAAATTGGTTAAATTTTAAAGTTAAGTGGACTAAGTTTGCAATTCATTTGGTCATTTTTCTAATTCAAATATAACCATTTTTGTCCCACTTCTTGGACCTCTTTAGGAAGACCAAGTATTGGGCCCTCTTCTTTCAAGTTTCCAGTAGCCCACTTCTCCAATTCAATTTTTCCAACCCATTCCTAATCATAATAAAAACCGGCCAATCTCAATGCTAAAACCCAATTCCAACAATTCCTCACAACAATGCATTATACAATCAGCATTCCAATACCAAAACCGACCCCACCCCATGTGCTTTCTTCTTCTTCCATACAAATCAAACTACTAATTCAAAAACCCACCAGCAATATCAATACAAACAGCAGTACCTAACCCCACCCCATGTGTTTTTTCTTCTTCCTTGCAAATCCAGAAAATCCCAACAAACCAGTAAAGGTCAACACCTGCAGCAGCCGCATCACATCTCCTTTTCCCATTTTTCAGGGATTTCCAAATCTCTTCCACTGATTTCCTTGGAAAAGAGGGAAGAAATTCAAAAGATTTTGCATTTTTGCTGAACTTTTCCCCCCCTAAATCGACCCCAAATTTCCTCTATATAAACCTCCATTTTTATTTAGTGTTGGGGTGGGGAAAAGAGAGGAGGATTAAGGAAAGTGGGAGACAAGAGATTTTACATTCTAAAAAATAGAAGTTAATTTTTAAATTGAGAGGACGAAAACCCGATCGCTATTTTTTTCTGTATTGATTCTCTTCTTGCTCGAGTTAAGGTCACAGTGGTGTAAAAGCTTTAGGGTCAAGCTTGTCGTCTCAGTTTGCTGCTCCGGAAAAGGTAAAATTCCTTCATAACCTCGATTTATGTTTACTAGACTATTTATCTCACTTGTGTAACAATGTTGTCTTATTTGTTTTGCCATGATATTTCAGCTCCTCCGTCTCATTAATTTTTTTTTATGCCTCGTATTGTTTTAGCTATACTATCCTTGTTTCCGCAATCATAGATAAAAGATGTTGTTGCTCATGTTTGTCTGCTTAGGCGATTAAAGCGCAAAATGCATCTCAAAAGCATATGTGTGTAATGTTGTTTCCAATTTGTTTGGCCCATTCATACGTCATGAATTTGCTAAATGTTTTGAGTTTACTCGTAGTCCAATATGTCCGGTTCTGGTCACTGTTTGAGTCCCTCCGATAAGCATGTTGATTTGAAATTCTAGAAATAAATGTTATAAAGTTTGAATTTTTAGTTGGTGTATATCACATCAACATTAGATTTGCACTGAGATTTTGTTTATTATGATCAAATTTTGATATAATGTTTGTCCATTTAACTTGAAAGGTCATCATATTTCAATTAGTGATGTTGCCTCCTTTTGAATATTGTAATCTCATTTCCTTAAGCTCATAAATAGCTTTATTTTTTATTTTTTATTTTTTATTTTTTATTTTTTATTTTTATTTCTGACTATATAGTTTAACATGTGTATTGCCTCCTTTCAGTTCAAAAGTTTTCCTCGCATTAAACTTTAATACTCACACGCAGCCATTTACTTGCATTTATGAAGATCCTCATTTTAGATGTGCATATTGTGTAACTAATACTTATTAATAGTCATTTTATGCCCCTTTATTTATGCATTTAATTTATTCCTTATATATGGGTTGTTTGGAAGCTTATGTTTCCATTTTTAATGTTGGTATGATTTTTACATTTGAAATAACATGTTTATATCTTTGTCTGGAAGTCCATTGAAAAAAAAATGAAATATTCTCGTTGATTACCAGGTCCATTACAATAAGTACATTTCATGGATTAATTAAGTTAAACTTTATATAGTTTTCCTAGTGACATCTAAGAGTGAATGTTAATTCTTTTCCTTTTCTTTGCATGTGATATGGGATGAGTCCAATGGACTCTTTCACCTCTCCTTTCATTTCTTTTGTTGGGTCAGACCCAAAAATTCTCCGAGTCTACCTCATCAACTGGATCGTGAAGTGAGAGGAAAGCAAGTATACAAGTCTTGAAACCCTGAAAATTTGGTTGTATACATCCGATATACACTGACATACAACAAGTGTATACAAAATGGAAATGAGGCCAAAACCCAAATACAACTGCAGGAAGGGCCCAAATTAAATTTCTCCTTTGCTCTTAACCTATTTAATTGTGATTATTTATTGTTAGTTTTTCTTTTATTAACTCTAACTTTAAATAACTTAATCAAATTCCCCAAAAGATGAACTATATTCTTTATGTTAGTATATTTCAATATAATTCATTTTTTATCAACTCTTACACTTTTATTGAATATATTTAGTCAAAACTTTTTATTTATTCTTCATTTAATTTAAAATCATTTTAATACTTTTAATTAATCAAATCGGTTTAAATTATTATCTTAAAATGATTCAAATAAATTTTTATAAATCTAATTTTGTTCAAACCTTAATCACTTGCATTTTAATTCAAATGTTCCATTTTAGGCCCCTTTCTCTATAAAATAAAATGTGTCATTTATTTAATTAGTTTCTCAAAGTTAATCAAATATTGTAAATTAATATTATTATTAACTCATTTTCCTTTAAAAAAAAGTCAAAAATATTTAACCAAGTCGTAGGATAACCACATGTTAGCGGACGCTTCAAATGCCTTAAAAACCTTCTTGAAGCGTAAATAAGAACTTCTTACCCATTTTCTCTAAATTTATAAAGACTTAATCTGTTAAAGTCTTTTTAAATTAAGTTTTCTTAATTTCTTTAAAAAATTAAGTGGCGACTCTTTTCTAAGTATTTTTTCTTAAATTGTTTTATACTTAGAACATTTCAAAAAGTGATTTTTCTAAAGGTTAGTAAAATTACGGCATAACACATATACCAAAAGATTAGTGGGAATAAGTTTATATTTTTAGTCTTGTATGTTGATGACATTTTACTTGTTGCTAATGATTTAGGCATATTGCGTGAGACGAAAGACTTTCTCTCTATGAACTTTGAAATGAAAGATATGAGTGAGGCATCATATGTGATAGGGATAGAAATATTCCGTGATAGATCACAAGGATTATTGGGACTGTCTCAAAAAGGTTACATCGAAAGAGTTCTAGAGAGATTAAACATGAACAATTGTTTTGCAGGAATAGTTCCTATTCAAAAAGGGGATAAATTTAATCTCATGAAATGCCCAAAGAATGATGTAGAACGAAAAGAAATGGAAACAATTCCTTACTTTTCTATTGTAGGAAGTTTGATGTATGTTCAAACTTGCACAAGACCGAATATTAGTTTTGCTGTCGGAAATGCTAGGAAGATATCAAAGTAACCCTGGAATTGATCACTGAAAAGCTGCAAAGAAAGTCTTAAGGTACCTGAAAGGAACGAAGAATTACATGCTCATGTATAGGAGATCCAATCACTTAGAAGTTAGTAGATACTCGGATTCAGATTTTGCTGGATGCGTTGACACTAGAAAGCCCACATTTGGTTACTTGTTCCTATTAGCTGAAGGATCAATATCGTGAAAGAGTGTTAAGCAATCTGTCATTGCTACATCCACAATAGAAGTAGAATTTGTGGCATGTTATGAAGCCACAATTCATGCATTATGGCTGCGAAACTTCATTTCAGGACTTGGGGTTGTCGACACCATTACCAAGTCGCTGAAAATTTATTGTGATAATACTGCAGCAGTATTCTTCTCCAAGAATGATAAGTACTCCAAAGGTGCCAAACATATGGAATTAAAGTACTTTACCATCAAGGAAGAAGTTCAGAAACAAAGAGTGTTACTTGAGAATATTAGAACTGATCTCATGATTGCAGATCCCTTAACAAAAGGCTTACAACAAAAGACATTTAAAGAACATGTGCAAAGAATGGGTCTTGGTTGTACTTATGATTGATGCATTTATGATGTTTTTACACTCTGAGCTCAAATTATGTGTTTCTGATATACATTAATAAATTTCTTGTTTCTCATAATGGTGTACACATTATTGTTTTGAGATATTACAAGATAAGTCTCTATGAGACATTATTGTGGACCATAATGTTATATGTTTTTATAGCTTATGAACCTAGTATGATGAGTTTCTAATGTAGTAGTATATGGAAGGAAGTATGTAGCTTAAAATTTATGTACAACCGCCATAACTCGCATTAGTAGTTTGTTATATTGTGGTAAGTATGATGGACATTATAGAAGAGATAAATTATACGCACAACTAATGTTTATGAAATATTAATGTTATATGGTCATTGGGCCAAGTGGGAGAATGTAAGAACTATTATTAACTATTATTAATTATTTCTTACTTATGGCCCAAGTTTACTTGTAACCCAAGTAATACCATAAATAATATTTAATAAGGAATAGATCTCGTCCGTACATTGGTTACTTGATGGACGTACCAAATTAAGTCATAACCTCTATAAATTGGTCCTCCCTCCACCCATTAGGGTTACCACATATTCTCTACAATAACTTCATCACTGACGATTGTGGTAACATAAAGTTAGGGTAAGGAGGTAGAAACCAATTTACGACTAACGCTCTGCTTCTCTCTGTGATAATATTTTTCGCATCAGGTATGTGCCTTTAACATTATATATGTAAGATTATCATGTTCAAGATCCTGAAAGTATTTAATCTTACATTCTCTATATGTCATAATCAAGCGCTCCTTGTTATTTCTAAAAAAATCTTTGTTAATAGGCTAAGCACGTGAAAATTCTTTTTGATAAGGGTGGTGATGAGATTCGATTTCAAAACCTCTGTCTACTCTAATATCATCTCATCTAAAAGCTTAAACCGTTAGAGAGTACAATTTTACTGTTTCATTGTATTCTCAACACGCTCCCTCATATGCGGGCGAGCCTGATTCTTTTTTGGATTTTGTTATATCATTAGAGAATCTTTTGACTATTTTTGCATATGCTATAGTCAGTTGGCCTTTGCTATCTCTAAAAATCTTGAATTCTTTTTGCTACATTCATCAATATTCAACTTAAATTCGTCAGGACTAAAATCAGAGACGAACTTTCAATTTTCATTGCGTACGTCTGAATTTATTCTCAAAGCAGGTAAATGTGGATAAAAATTACAAAGGCACAAGTTAAATGGTGATCCCAAAAGTACATATTTGTGCACGTAGCTTGGGGATCGCATCCATTAATGAGATAGGGACATAATTTGGTTACTATGCTAGTAGCATGAGTAATATTATCAAACCAAAAATCAAAGGAAGACATTTTTGTTCATTTTTTATTGGCGGAATGATTTACAAGACTCTTATACTTTGCTCGAATTGTTAGTTAGGTTTTTTTATATATGACTTTATCAATTGAACACTTAAATTCAAGCAAAATAAGAATTTGAATCCCCTCTAACCATCGAACAAACTTATGTGACATTGTAATACTGAGTTGGACAAAAAAATAGATTAGACAGGCGAATGATAGTACAAGCAAACTAATACACGGGTCGGGGAACAATAACTGAATATCAAAAAAAATTTAAAACGAGCTAACTTGGGCACTTTTTTTTACTATGTATATCTTAGTGCAATTAGGGGCTATTTTTTTGTTATTGGATAAGGGCAAAATTAATATATGAATAACTTGGTTATTCATGTATTAATTTTATACCATGTTTGGTTTGTAAATAGAATCAAAATTATTCATGTATAAATTTTATACAATGTTTGGTTGGTGTGTCTCCAAATATTGTATAAAAGTTATTCATGTATTGATTTTATGTGGTGTTTGGTTATACTTTTGTAATTCTACATAGCTAATACTCACATAATTTATGAATAAATCTATGTATAAGTTTATGCGGGGTAGAAGGTGGAATAGGGGGAGCACACGTTCTACGCGACCCATGCTCCAGAACCAAACCCATCTCCCCATTCTTGGCTGGAAATGAGCTTGCAATGACAAGCTCTTCCTTCAGTGCGATAGTGGAAGGGAGGCCTGCAACAATCCTGGTCCAAAATCCAACGTTCTTGGCTCAGATCGTTTCAGAGGGAATGAGGCTGGCGATGGAAACATACAACAACCACTTGTGGTTGTCAACTGTACTCCAACCTCCAATCAGCTTCCCATTCCCACAAATTCTCTTCTACCACTATCCCACTTGGGAGATGCCACTCTTCAATCCCCTCAACCCCTCCATGAACCAAGAGCCTATGATGTTCCCTCCCTTCTTGTTTCCCTTTCACATACCGGGGAATGCAACGACCCTATGGAACAAAGTCGGGATAGACCTGATCTTCTCAACAGTGGTGCACAACGAAGCCAGGGAGAGTCCTCCCCAAGTGGTTCCCAACATCTCATCATCAACCTCCAAGGTAATACTGCATCTCAGAACTTCCCCTCCCCCACGAGTAGTATCAGGACAAGAAGATGAAATAGATGTGAGGGAAATAGAAGAGGCAATAATCATGATGAAGGAAACTCGATCAGAAATATATGTGTTAAAGAATATAAAAATAGTAATATTCAAAGAGAGATACGAAAAAACTCATACTCATCTGTCCACTTAATTTATCCAAAAGCTCAATAGATATACGAGCTCCATCCAACCCAGAAATTGGGAACTTTGTAGTGATAATGAACCCGACTCTAATAACGGAGAGAGAGAGGGAAGTAATGGAGAACATAACACCCACCTTTAACAGATCAATGAATATAATAGTTTGCAATTGTAGAGGGTGTAACAGGGACGACTTTAGGAGAAACTTTAGGGACCTTATGGATTGGCACAAACCCCCACTGGTAGCCCTTGTGGAAACAAAAATGCAGGACCATCAAGCTCTCTTAGACAACTTTCCTTTTAATAATATGATCCAAGTACCAGCTATTAGCAAATCAAGAGGAATGGTGATGCTCTAGGACGATGAAATCCTTGAGATAGATGATATAACGACAACTGGCCAGGAGATACATGCGATGGTTAAGGTACTCTCAACAAAACAATTCTGGCTTTTTAGTAATATATATGCTAGTACGTATAGACACTCTCGGAATATATTATGGCAGAATCTGAAAATTATAAAAGAAAACTACAAAGGAAACTGGTTACTAGGGGGGACTTTAATGAACTCCTAAGCATAACGGAAAAAAAGGAGGCAGACCAATTAATAAAATAATACAAAGGAGTTTTTGGATATAGTCAACTATTGCGAACTAATCGATAT